CCATAGGTTATTTTCCCTTTGATTATGTCAATTCAATACCATATGGTGCTATGCCCCAAACACAAAAATAAAATAGATTAGGAAAACAAATGCATACTGTTTATGAAGGAATCCTATTTAAGCATAAGACCATGCAAACACTTGAACCAGCACAGCTGAAGGAATCATTGAGAGAGAACAGAAACATCTTCAAGTGGCTGTGTTGTAAAAGATGTGTATCAAGGAACTGCACCACCAATTTGTCTGTGCATCATTTTTCCAATTTTTTCTGAGCACAGAACTTGCCTCCATCTCAGAGATGTCACAGAATTTAATTAATGTTTGCAGAGTGCTCTCATTGTTTTGTGTGAAAATGCTAGAGTGATACAAATTACCCAGTAAACTGAACAATTATAGCACTCTGTTAAAACTACATGATTACATAGCCCTGAGTTTTTAAAGTAACAGAAAGTAATATTAGGCAGATAGACTTCCATCTAGGAACTACAGCTTGCCATGGTTTCCTCCTAACTGACAGTTTCCATTCTTAAAATGAAGAATGTCTTAATAACCATGTTAAATGTCAGAGGATAACCCAGTGCCATTTATGCACTACATCTGCAGATCACCCAAGATGGACTTCCCAGTCCAAAGGATTCACATGCTCTATAGGTAAATTCAAGGGAACTCATGCATGGGTCATTTACTTTCAGCTTATCTTCTTTTCTTGAGCAAAAATGAAACTCCGAAAGATCCAATGTAACGAGTAGCATGAGTACAACAGTACACCTTCAAGATCAAACATCCAAAATTCAGCAAATTCCACTTTTAATTAAGCAATGAAGTACATTTCCATTTCCCTTGCATATGGAAGTTTTATCGAGCAACAAATAATGTTCCCCAGAAAGAGAAGGGCTTCTTATTAAGGTTTATCTCTGAATTTACAGCTTGGGAGACCTACGCAAACTGACAGGACCAAGGAATTTCCCAACTTTGAGAGCCTGATCTTGCAAACTTTGTATCATATTAAACTTCGTAAAGGTATGTCCTAGTTACTGCAGCACAACCCTCTAAAAGTGGAGCAGCCAGGGATAGGCTTTTGGGGTGTTTCAGGATCTTATTCAACTTATATAAAGGTGAGCCTGGTTGAAGGGGATATGTGATCTTTTGCAGTGCAGGAGTGCAGTGAGAGCATAAAATGACATTTCTGTGGCTGGTAGGAAGAACATACGGATTTCCACATCATGTCCCTGTCTGGAACCCACAAAAGCCTCCTGACTCCACAGAGAAGGTTTATTTCAAGCACCTTGCTAGAACTATAAATACCTGGAAGTGTCAAGATTTTTTTTACTTTGTGTATATAAAAACTGGCACTTTATGTCCACCTCATAACGATAAAAAGATACTCTAATCAGAAAAGACAGAGGTGCATGAGGATCAAAATGCATTTGACTCATGAAGTATTTTTCCTTCTGAAGAGATCTGAAAAATAAGCTTTTACAGGTTTTTATGTGAGAAGAAGAAGCTGTGACGAATATCACAGCAAAGGGCTAAGAGATTACCACAACAAGAAATGGTAAGTTGCCACTATGAGACTACTTGAGAAGTGGGTGGGTATAAGAAAAGAAACAACTAGAGAAGGGTTATGACAATAATGTTAAATTAAACTTAAATCTAGGCCATTAAATAACTACCTTAAAGTAACATGCTCCTTCACATCATCAACCAACCTTACTAAGTAGTTGACACTTCTGAATCAGTGAGTTAAATCCTCTGCGTCTCACATGCTGCTCCTCTATCCTGGCCTCAAGTTCGGGTAACGTTCACACAGAATTAGCGTAGTTTAGAACTTTTTTTTCTTATCTACACTGTCCTGCTGATTCTCCACTCACCTCTCTTCAAAACTTGCTTGTCAACTTAAATGCTGAAACAGAACACAGCTTTTCTCTGTGTAGGTTTTGTCTAAACGTTAACAGAGCAACTTTAATCCTTTCAGCCATAAATAGCTTTTTTTCAGTGACATGAGTGGCTACTGTTTCATTTGTGCTGCTGGGCAAATTTCCCATAGAAAAAAAAAAATCCTTCTGTTCTTCTCTGTGGCTAACATCCCTTGTTTGTTTCATGAGGAAGTAATATGAGTGTTAGTCCCCCACTATATTGCCAGTGACAGAAAAGCTACTTCTCAGCAAAACTGCTGAATATACAGTATGCAAACCACTTGCAAATAAATCTACCTTTCACTCTATCAGAACCAACAGGTCTTCAAAATCAAATCAGAAAGACTTCTATCTGAGAAGGACCAATACAAAGGATCAATACATCTACCTAA